TTAGTATTAGTATTAGTATTAGTATTATTATTAGCTATTAGCTATTAACTATTAGTATTAGTATTAAGTATTAGTATTCGTATTAGTATTAGTATTAGTATTAGTATTAGTATTAGTATTAGTATTAGTATTAGTATTAGTATTAGTATTAGTATTAGCATTAGTATTAGTATTAGTATTAATATTAGTATTAGCTATTAGTATTAGCTATTTGTATTAGCTATTAGTTTTAGTAGTTTGTATTAGTAATTTGTATTAGCTATTAGTATTAGTATTAGTATTAGTATTAGTATTAGTATTAGTATTAGTATTAGTATTAATATTAAAATTAGAATTTGCATTAGTATTTGAGATTAAAATTAGAATTTTCATTAGTATTAGTATTAGTATTAGTATTAGTATCAGTATCAGTATATTAGTATTTGTATTAGTATCAGTGTTAGTGTTAATGTTAGTCATAGTGTTAGTATTAGTGTTAGTGTTAGTGTTAGGAGGTTTTTTATCTATCCTACACCCGGTAAAGGTTACACCGGGTGATTTTTTACCGTTGATCTACACATACCAATGTGTGTGTGTGCGTGTGTGTGTTTGTGTGTATATGAATGGTAAAGATCTACCCGGCGTATTTCACCCGGTGTAGGATCTCAAAAGCCGTGTTAGGATTATAATTGGCATTAATATATGATTAGTATTATGTTTAGTATTATAATTAACATTAGCATTAGGATTACGATTATAGTTATGATTAGGATAAGGATCAACATTAGGATTAGGATTAGGATTAATATTAGTATTAGTATTAGCATTAGCATATTTGGATTAATATTATGATTGTGATTGGTAGTAGTATTACGTTTAACATAAGAATATTAACATTAACATTAGCATATTAGGATTACCATTAACATATTAGGATTAACATTAGCATATTAGGATAGTCATTAACATATTAGGATTAGTACTAAAATTGAGATTAATATTTGTATTAGAATTATGATTAGGACTAAAATTAGAATTCGTGTTAGTATTAGTATTTCTATTAGGATTAGGATTAAAATTAGGATTATACGATTAAGGTTATGATCAGTATTAGAATTAGAATTAATATTAGCATATTATGATTAATATTAGCATTAGTATTTGGATTATGATTAGTATTATGATTAGAATTATAATTATGATTAGTATTAGGATTAAAATTAGTATTAGAATTAGCATATTAACATTAACATTAACATTAACATTAACATTAACATTAACATTAGCATATTTGGATTAACATCAGCATTAGGATAATGTTTAATAAGAACATTAGCATTAGTAGTAGAATTATAATTACAATCAACATTAGCATATTAACCTTAGCAGTTGCTTTAGCAATAGCATATTAGAATTAAAATTAGCATTGGCATTGACATTAGCATTATCATATAAGTATTAATATTAATATTAGCATTAATGTTAGCATTGGGATTAACATTAGCATTAGCATATTAGAATTACTATTAGTATTAGGATTAACATTATGATTAGAATTAGTATTATTATTATTAGCATTATGATTAGAATTATGATCGGTATTAGTATTAACATTAATATTAGCATATTATAATTAGTATTAAGATTAGCGTTATCATTAGCATATGTGTATTTCTATAAGGATTAGAACTATGATTAGTATTGTTATTATTAGGATTATGATTATTAAGATTAAGATTAGCGTTATTATTAGGATTATATTATATTTATGATTAGGATTATGATTAAGATTAATATAAGAATTATGATTTGGGTTAGATTTAGCATTACCATTAGTGTTAGGATTATTATTAACATTAAGATTATGATTATTATTAGATTATTAACATTAGCATACTAGGATTAAGATTTACATTAGTGTATTAGGATTAACATTAGCATTAATGTATTCGGATTAGCATCAGCATTAGAATTATGATTATGATTAACATTGACATTGACAATGGCATTAGCATACTAGGATTATGAATAACATTAGTATTACTAACAGTATTAGTATCATTAGATTAGTATATATATTTGTAACGGTAACGGTAACGATAACAGTAATGGTAATGGTAATATGAGATAAGTATTAATTTTATCTGCTGATATCCGTTCAAGAGGCGAAATAGTAATAAACGTTGCTTCCAGGGGCATTGCTTCGCTTTTACTCCTCGGTGGCAGAACTGTGCATTCGAGATTTGGACTGCCAATAATTGTATATGAGAGCTCCACATGCAGCATCAAACATCAAAGTCCACAGACGGAATTGATGCACATGTGCTGTTTCGAAGCACTTGACAAGACAATGAAATCGATACTTGATTCAGATATGCCATTCAGAGGCAATGTTGTAGTTCGTGGAGGGGACTTTCGGAAAATTCTTCCAGTTATGTTGAAAGCCTCGAAACAAGACATTGTTCATGCTACAATCAATTCATCATCGTTGTGGAGACAATGTAAGGTCATAAAGTTGAACAAAAACATGAGACTTCAATCGTCATCCCCTTCCGCCAATGCGGATGATATAAGAGAGTTTGCGGAGTGGATATTGAGAATCGACAATGGCGATGCTGACGAGTTCAATGATGGTGGCGGAAATTCAGATTCCCGATGACATGCTGATTCGTGACTCTACAGATCCCTTTCTCGATCTTATAGAGTCTGTTTATCAAGATCTGGTGAGCAACCTGTTCACTCCTGAGTATTTCAAGAGCATGTCAATTCTTGCACCGACTAATGAAAGTGTCGGTTACGCGAATGATCATTTTTTTGTCGATGATAACTGAAAGGATAAGGTCTATTTCAGCTCCGATAGTATGTGCAGAGTTATTATCAGATGTCAACGCAGAAATATATTCCACATAATTTTTCAACACCATACTATGCTGCATAATTCCACTGCCTAGGTTTCCACTGGAAACAGATGCTCCCGTTATGCTCATTATAGATATTGATCAGGCCAGATGATTGTGCAATGGAACCAGACTTCAGGTTATTAATATGGGAAAACACGTTCTCAACTGCAGGATTCTCTCTGGTAAGCATGTTGCCGATATGGTGTTCATTCCTAGAATGACTTTGGTACTGTCAAAATTCGCATTGCCTATTAAATTTCAGCGACGTTAGTTTCCGTTGATGGTTTCATTTGCAATGACTATCAATAAAAGTAAAGGACATACTATTTCTCATGTAGCACTGTACTTGTCCAGACCTGTTTTCAGCCACGGACAGCTCTATGTAGCACTTTCGAGAGTTAAGAATCGTAAAGGCATAAAGATTTTGATCAACTCGAAATCTGGCGAAACGACCAACGTCACAAATAATGTTGTATTCAAGGAAGTTTTTCATCTTATATGAAGGTAATCCTATACAAAAAAATTATACGGTATTAAACAACGACCTTTATTTTATATTAGTTATATGTTTTGTTATTCCTCATTCGTAGCTTAATTGAATTTATACTACGAACTTGCTCAAAAAGGTAATTTCTTAAAATTGATTTTATATCATTAAATATTTATATTGGTATTGGTCTGGTAATGTTTTACTTATTTCGTATGATCATTGTACAAAATATGCAGGTCAACTGCAATGCATTGAAGTCGTTACATGCTTTTAGAGTTGTTGGTATAAAAAACCTAATTGTTTGTATCGGATTCAAATTTTGAACAGAGGTATATCATTATAGCAAATGAGATTCGGACTAACGATATATTCACTCTTTGTATGCGGAAATTAAAACCTTAGATGTTTGGTTTTTTAACTTAATTCATCACTCGCACTATACAAATTACATTTTATTTTTAATATTTTTTACATTTTGGTATTACATATCAACAATTGATCTTGCTATTTTTATAAGCTCTTTATTATTAAATATTCGTTTTTACGATGATTACCCCGTGCATCGCACGGGTGTAGTACTAGTTCAATTAATGACAAACTTCAACACCAAGCAATCGGATTCTTCGAGATATTCAATCATGAGAATCTGGTGCCAACATAATCAGTAATACATTACTTTTAAACGATTTCATTTATTTAGTTGTCACAGACTTTTTAATATTCGAAGTATCATTTCTCTTTATTTTGTAACGCAATTCTTAAAAAATAAGTTTTAGGACTTGGATAAAGAGTAGAAACGGCATGTGATTTGCTTTATCAATGCGTATGTAGTGTGTGGTATTCATTCTGTATAAATGGCGAGTTGGTGGGCCATTTCAAATCCTCTTGTGGAGTGCGGCAAGGGGATCCGTTATCCCTTCTTTTGTTTATTTTGGCACAGCAAATTTTGTCGTTTAACGTCAACCTAAAAGTTCGTAATTCTGATATTCAATCATACAAAGTCGGCAAGAATGAATTGGCTTTGTCACACCTGCTGTAAGCGGACGATATCTTGATTATCACTATTGGAGCGGCTTCGTCAATTCAAAAACTTTTGGAGGTCGTCCGGTTTTATGAAAAGTCCACCGTCCCTTTATGTAGGTAAACGGGCCGATTTGGGTATTTTAGTATTGAACAGGGGACAGGGATTCGAGGATAATTTAATCTTTTACAGTTTTCTATTCAAGGGGGTTATATGCATAATTTCATACCATAAGGGGGTCATGTGTGAAATGTCAAAACCACAAGGAGGTTATGTGTCTAATTTCACACCATAAGGGGGTCATGTGTAAAATGTCCATACCACAAGGGGTTAAGTGCTATTTACCCAAAATTATATTATGTAGGGTAATTTATACAAAAAACATGAGTATGAGTTTATTTGCAAGATTGTTTTTTATCCATATATGTGCATTCAAGTCCATTGTCATGGGTTTATTTGTCGTTCGCCCTTTATTTTATCTTTTGTGTAAAATCGTGAATCACGTGTGTAGCACGTGGTACTTACTAGTATCAAAACTAGAAAAATACCCTCTATTGAAATATGCAACTTATACAAAAAAAAAGAAAAAAAAGAAAAAAAGAAAAAATCTTTCTCCTCATTTTCCTTTGTTCAAAACCAAATTATTAAAGAAAAGAAAAAAATAAAAATAAAACCCCTCTCCTCCCGATGGGCAAGCACGACTGTCGACGCCGCTCACCGCCTGGAACCGCCGCGACAAATATCTTGTGCACCATCCCTGCACAAAACACTCACATCCCTCGTACAAGTAAGTATTTTTTTATTATTATTTTGAAATTCCATACAAAGTGGCCGAATGTGGAAAATGTAGTTTAGATAACTTTTGATGTTGAGCATTGAATTGTTGATATTTGTTGGTGGGTGGCTATGATTTTGTTTGAATTCGTCGAATTTTAGTTTGTTTCTGACGCAGTTTTTTTTTGGACAAGTTTCTGTCGATTTTGTCATTTATTATTAATAATTTTAGTTTTTAAATCTTCAATTCTAGGTGTCGGATAAAGGTAGAAATCATCACTACACGGTGCGATTTACACCATTTGTGTTAAATAAAAAAAAGAAAAAGAAAGAAAGAACCACACCATTCTCGTAAAACAATGCCAATATTTCACCATATATATATGGAATAAAAAATTACGTTCAATATGGCCACGCCCGCACTATAACCATATCGTCTGTTGGTATTTCATCATAATTACGAAAGACACCGTGTTTGTTCACTGCATAAGTATATGTGTGATGATATCCATCTGCCCATCCATCATTGTACACATCGAAAGCAATCGTCTGTTGGCCCCACCAAAATCGACAAAAGAAAAGAGTATTTCTCCAAAAATTGCTTCTAAACGACCAATTAAAATCCTGACCAGTATAAAGAAGACGATATCCAAAATCGTCATTTTTAGACGCACAATGAACTGATAATGCCGGGGTACCTTCTGGCATACGATTAAAAATTTTAATTAGATGCCTCCTCATAGCCGCTTCACTCTCATGACAAAAGTTCAATGATAAAATAATTAAGAAAATTATAGTGATGCTTCGAGGAGACATGATTGAACAAGTGATTTTTAATTTTGGGTGGTTATATTTTTTTGCCCCACCATTTTATAGCCATGTATTTGCATGAAATTAGTAGGATAATAAATTAAATACTAATTTTAAGAGTCTTGATTTCCCTTGATTACGATTGTCATTCAACACTATATATAATTAACAACATAATTTATGGAATCTAATTAACTTAATTTTATATAATACATATTTTAACAAATTTTAATGACACTATGATTACAAATACTCAAAATAAGGATGGTTCCTTGAAGATGTTTTTTTAATTGAGATGAAATAATTAAATCAATAATATCATGAATTGATAATACTACAGTAGTAATAACTAATAAGTATAATATTACTAAAGAATATTTAGACCAATACAAAATATAAGGGTTTTAAAGTATAATTGTATAAAATTAATATTTAAGTTTAATCAATAAACTATTTCTAGATACATGTATTCTAGCTATTCTAATTCAACAACTTACTACATATCGGAAAAAAAAATTCAACATTTTACTACATATATAACTATGTAAATTGAATTAAATAAATTGCTTCAATCATCCATACTCACTAATTAAACGGTTAATTACAAAAAGACCCATGAAAATGACACTTAATTAAAAGAGGGACATCCATCGTTTTTATCTTTCAAATAAATCCAGCTCATTCAAACTTATTTGTAAATAAGGAAAATACTTTTATATATACCAAAATTACCCCAATTCATTGAAACCCAATTCAACTCAAATTTCATGATTTACACTCCAATTTAGCCCAATTTCAACAATTAACCAATTTTAACCATAATTTCAATTTTGACCCCAATTTTGAACCGCCACCACCGGAGACCGCCGGTCGCCGCCGTTGACCGCCGGTCTCCAGCGTTGACTTTTTTTTTTTGGAAATTTTTTTTTTCCTGAAATTATTTCCGGCCGGTCAACTGCCGTCGACCGCCGGATCTCCGGCGTTGACTTTTTTTTTTTTTTTTTTTATAATTTTGTTTTTTCTTAAAAAAAATATTTTAATTAATATTATTGTCTTGGCTTCTAAATTACTGTCTCCAGTAGTTATTTAACTGTTAATTCACCTTTTTTTTTTCTTCAAAAATATTTTAATTAATATTACTGTCTTTGCTGCTAAATTACTGTCTCCTGCAGTTATTTAACTGTCGGAGACAGTAATGTAACTGTTAATTGTTTTTTTGAATATATTTTAATTAATAATACTGTATTCGTTGCTAAATTACTGTCTCCAGCAGTTATTTAACTGTCGGAGACAGTGATTGAACTGTTAATTGACTTTTTTATTCATAAGAAAAATATTTTTAATTAATATTACGATATTCGTCGCTAAATTGCTGTCTCCAACAGTTATTTAAGTGCCGGAGACAGAAATCTAACTGTTAATTGACTTTTTTTTTTGAAATTTTTTTTCTTAAAAAAATTATTTTAATTAATATTACTGCCTTGGCTGCTAAATAACTGTCTCCAACAGTAATTTAACTGTCTTAGACAATAATATTAATAATATTACTGTTCGGAAAAATAATATTCATAATATTACTGTCCCAAACAGTAATATTATTGTCTGAGACAGTAATTTAGTAGCTAAGACGGTAATATTAATTAAAATATTTTTTCCAAAGGAAAAAAAAAAAGAGTCAACGCCGGAATCTGGCCAGAAATTTTTTTTTTTCAGAAAAACAATTATTTTCTAAAAAACAAATTGGGGGTTAATGTGATATATTTGTTTAAATTTGGGGTCAATGTGTAATATTAAAGAAGTTAGAGCATAATGGATGGAATTAATAAGAATTATATTATGGAGTGTAGACATGGAGATGGATTTAATTGAGAGAATGTTTTTTTTATGGACTAATGTACATTTAAGTTTCATGTGATGGGTTTTTTTACCATATATATATATATATATATATATATAGAGAGAGAGAGAGAGAGAGAGAGAGAGAGAGAGAGAGAGAGATGATCCATAGCAAAATTGCCCAATATGTGATTTTCTTTGGATAAATCATAATCTAACATTTTGAAATTAATAGTATATGATTTTCTTTCGATTCACATATTAATTATTTCAAGATTTTGCGTCACAAATTTCTCTCATCAAGTTAACTATTTAATTTATGAGTATGGATGATATGATTGAAGCAATTTATTTAATCCAATTTACATAGTTATATATGTACTCAATTGTTGAATTATAATAGCTAGAATACATCTATACTAAATATAAAAGGATGAATGTGAGGAAAGTTTCTTCCATTTTATATAGGGACAAAATTATCCCTACATATATTTTAGAATTTATAGAAATCAAAGGACAATGACGTAATTTAGTTAATATTTCATTTAAAGGTTAATTACTTTTCATATTC